AAAATTATAATTTCATATTACCTTTTATTTTGTGGATTCGATATACTCTAAAGTTAAAAATCAAGCTTACCATTTGAATGTCTAATAAAATGTAGATATTTATATAAAAGGTAATATGAAAAACATTATATAAATATTTATATTTTATTAGACATTCAAATGGTAAACTAGATTTTGAACTTTAGAATATATTGGACCCATAAAATAAATGGTAATATGAAATTATAATTTTTTATTAGGATGAAATTATATTTTTTAACGGTTATATTAATAGATATCAATGAAAATGGGTTACGTGTTATACGTGCATAAATGTCATAAGATGTAGGAGTAATATTCTAAATGTGAAGAGGTCTAAATGATTAAGTGACAAGTATGAGGGGATCTAGGTATAATTTATCAATTTAGTTTTAGGTGCACATTGATACAAATTTCTATCTTTGAGGGTGCAAATTGAGATTTTTGATCTTTGGGGTGCACATTGATATAAATTTCTATCTTTGAGGGTGCAAATTGAGATTTTTGATCTTTGGGGGTGCATATTGATACAAATTTCTATCTTTGAGAGTGTAAATTGAGATTTTTGATCTTTGAGGGTGCAAATTGAGATTCGAACAATCTTTCGGGGTGCAAAATGAGATTAAACCTTATTTAAATATGAGCTTTTTATCTGAGAAATTCTCAAGCTTGGCTGGGTCCTTCTTACGAGGGGCTGACTAGGCATCTAGTATTGGCGGTGTAACTCACATAAACATATATTGTCTGAAAGAATAAGTATGTTATTTCTCTCCCCTTCCGTGTTGTTGGTGTTCCTATCATTGTTGCTCTGGCTACTGCTTGAAATGTATGAAACTTCTACATGCATTACTCTAAAAGCCCATATAACATGATGATTACTTTTTGGTGCAGAAGAACAGTTTATGCACAATAAGGAATATTGCAAATGTCTGCTGTGTTCAGTTCTCTTCTAACTCCTCTAATTTGTTGGCTTTTGGCTCTGCGGATTACAAAACCTATTGCTACGATGTTCGGAATGTTTCAACACCCTGGTGTATATTGACTGGCCATGAAAAAGCTGTTAGCTATGTGAAATTCTTGGACTCTGAAACCCTTGTTTCTGCATCTACCGACAACACACTAAAGCTTTGGGACCTCAATAAAACCAGTTCCAGTGGTTTATCAACCAATGCTTGCATCTTAGCCCTCAGAGGCCATACTAACGAGAAGGTTGGTTTCTCTCTGTTAGGAGCTGGGTAATTTTCTGTCACCATTGCAGAATGTAAATAAACTTCTTTGTATACTTAATCATAATAATTTGCATTTATTCCTATAATTTACATGAATTAGTTGTGTTTTTTGGTTTCAGTATTTGTTTTAACTTTGTGCTCTTGCGTCCTCAGAACTTTGTGGGTTTATCTGTTGCTGATGGATACATTGCATGTGGTTCAGAGACAAATGAGGTGGGCATATTTCTATTCTGTATCAGTATCATAGGATTACATGCCCACTAAATTACTACGATAACTGTGCCACTTTTTTCTCTGTTCAATAATAAGACGACAACATTGGAGATTGGATATTGTGCTAAGTCAGTCTACTCTCTCACTATGAGTACCATCCTATTGCTTAAGGTGATCTAATATAATAAGCATAACAGGAGAGAAGCAATGTTGAAGAAAGAAGCATAAGAACAAAACATCACACTTCTTTGATTTTAGAAAAAAGAAGTGAAATCTGATGGCCAGTCTGTGATGGATTTAGTGGAACAAGAAGTTGTTTGGTTTGGACTGTTCAGAGTGTTTTCATTGCATCTCGGAAAATAAATTTTCTTATTAAATGGTTAAAATCCCCTGTAAAGTCTGCTTTTTTAATCATGGTTGAGTTTACTGATCCTTGTTGATTTTATCTTGTCAGCTTAATTTTAATGGGAAATATGACATGACTTGGAAAACACACTCCTATGCCAAATAATTTGGCTTAGTTATGTTTCTTAATCATTTGCTTGGTCAACATTAGTCTGTTTTTAGGTTTTCCATTGTGTATATTTAATTTGATTGTTATTATTGTTTTAGTCATGTCTGCCTTTGTCCAATGATGGGGGGATGTCCACAACTTCTTGAAGACATATATATATATATATATTCACTTGCCTAGCAGGCTAGCACATGACTTTTAAGTGATATGGCTGCTAGATTAAATAAGATGCCGGCACCTACCCTAGTAGGGACATGATGATTGAGATCCGGGGTTTACTCTCATTAAGTATTCATTTTCTGCAGTGGGAGGTAGAATTTGGAAGAGACCTAACATTGGCTACAGCTAGTTTTTTCCTTACGCCTTTCTTGATTTCTTGCCTTCTTCTTGCTGCCCTTATTTTTTTTTTTTTTGATAGGAAACTAAACTTTCATTTCATAGAACGAAAGATGCATATTTAAAAATACAATAAATGGTGGATAAGAATTCCACCCACACTAATGACTACCAGTAGCATTCCAATTGAGTTGCAAAACAGCCAAAGGAATATCACAAAATTCCTTGGTAACCTTTGCCCAAGGAATTTCTTGCTGCCCTTATTCTCTTCCTTCTCCTCTCTCCTCCTCACACTTTTCTGTTTCTTATGTAATAATTTCTGTTGTCAAAAGCTTGTTCAATTGGTGACTTCACTGCACAACCGATTACAGATTTCTTGCGCTAGAAAGCTCGCATTGCTGACTGGCTGACCTTATTTTCCCCCACATTCTTGCTGGCCCTTGTTCCAGAACTCTATCCTTCCAATTTTCCAGCAGTACTTGCTGTTCTAGAGTCTAGAAAAGGCTTAAACAGTCTGAAATTTCATTCCAGACTTCACCTAAAGTGAGCAGATCTTAGACTCTCAATCTTTGGTTTCCCGACAATCCAGAAGCTTTATTGTGATCTGCTGTGTTTCTAAAGGGATATTTTTTTTTTTTTGGTTCTTTAGATTTAGTGTTATCTGAGTCACACAAGTAGAACTCATTTGGTTATTATTTTACTTGACTAGGTTTTTTTCTAATTACCTCCAGATGTTCTTCCTGCTTTTATTCTAAGTTTCTAACCCTAGAGTTGCGGCAGTTATAGTTCATTTTCTGTACTTTTTGATGAAATCTGATTTTCTTCTCTATTTTCTTGTATTTGTTTTGTTTCTCTGCAGGTGTTTGCTTATTATAGATCTCTGCCTATGCCGATCACTTCCCACAAATTTGGTTCCATTGATCCTATTTCTGGAAAAGAGACTGATGATGACAACGGACAGTTTGTTTCAAGTGTCTGCTGGAGACGGAAATCTGGCATGGTTGTTGCTGCTAATTCCAGTGGGTGCATAAAATTGTTGCAGATGGTTTAAAATAAAGGCGATCCAATCAGGGATCAATTGTGGAATTGCTATCACAAATGGCTTTGCAGCATGCAATTTCTGGCTGTTATGTCTGAAGCACCATGCTTCAGTGTGGGCTGGATGTTTAACCCCAGGAAAACTCAGAAAATCTGAAGACATTCCAGGTTCTCCTGCTCGTGAAATAGAAGGGCTTCTGGTTTTCGTCTCTACTCTAAGTCTCATGATGAATCTTTTGTGGTCCTGAGCATTGGGACAGAATGGAAGTCTAGGAATTGAATCAGATTCAAGAACTATGAGCCAAACGAATGACAGCAGTGTCTTCGAAGACACTAGATCTTAGAACTTCATAGTTCATAGTTAATGCAGCCCCAAGAAATTGCTAGATGAAAAGCAGAGATCATGTTGCAGTTGCCAGAGATGCCTGAATAACTGCTCTCATGTTTGCCAAGAGATCTACATCAAATCCAATGGTAGCAGATTGGCTTTTCAGATAAAGCTATAATTGCCATTTGTTTGATTGAAACTTGAGGTTGTGATGAAAGCTGGCATTGATTTTGGATCAGATTCTCAGAACTGATCTGTACTAGGCGTAAAGTCCCATAAATTTTAGATGGAGGACTCACGTATGTTACCGTGTTGACTGTTCATAGGATACTGTTGCAGCTTAGGCATATTTGTTGATTAGACATCCTGTAAGCAGGGTTAAACAATTGGATTGTTGCCAAACCTTACATTGCATCTAACACTCGATCAGCTGATTGTATATTTCCTATATACTTGATGTATATGAGATTTTTTTGTTAGAATATGTGACTTGTTCCATGTATGTGTGACTTGTTCTATATGCTAGTCAATTCTAATATAATCTAGGCAGGTTACAGCTGGCAGCCCAACCCCCCTCAAGAAGCTTGAAATTTGGATAGATGGGTGATGAATAATCTGTTACACTTCCATATGAAAAAATAGAAATTTTGACTTGCAACAATTTTTTTTTGGAACAGGCTCATATAAGCATGCTAATGTAACTGTCTCCTTCTCTTTCAGAACTACAGAAGTTGGGGAAAATTGTGCGCACTCATTCTTAAGAGCTACATTGTGTATGAAGTTGTAGGCAAGCACAGCAACTGTTGTGCTGGGTAATGGTGAAGGACGATGAACTATGCTACCTCCGAATCTGAGAAATGACCTTTTCTATGTCTACTTGGGCTCATGACTGTTGGTAATGGGCTCTCTCGACTCATCCTCGAACAGCGAGCACATGGATTCAGAGGTGATGAATATCCTTCTAGGGTTGGTGAACATCTTGGCGATGAGCATACTTTCGGTGTTTGTGTTGGTGAAGAACTTGGTGAGTAATGTTCTTTCCGAGCTCGTGTTGTCACAGTCAGTGTTCGTGTTGGTGAAGAACTTGGTGAGTAATGTTCTTTCTGAGCTCGTGTTATCACAGTCAGTGTTTGTGTTGGGGAAGAACTTGGTGAGTAATGTTCTTTCCGAGCTAGTGTTGTCACAGATCTTGGTGAATGTCCTTTCGGTGTTCCTGTATAACAATATCAACATGCTGAAATCAGTGAAATTCCTTCATCATCACATTTGACACGTAATTTTCCAAATTCTTAACTGTTACGAAATTTGATTATGAGACTTGGAAGTATGAACTAACCTAGACCTTTACTTGTCTTTGTCTCTTTCAAACTTCGTGTTAACAAAATTTTCTTCCCTTGAATTTTAGGCCGACTTGGCCTCTGATTTCTTGATATTGCAGACGGGGATTTTGTCTCTGGAGTTTCAGGACAGACTGGCCTTTGATCGGCTGTTGTCGTGGACAAATTTTTTCTCTCTGGAGTGTCGGGACAAAATGGCCTTTGATCCTCTGTTGGTGAGGATGACTTATTCAGACTCTCAGAACATACAGGCCTTTGTTCAGCTGCAGTTATCGTTGCAATTTTCCTTTGTAGAGTCTCAGAACCACCTGACCTATCATCAGCCGTCGTTGACAACATTGTATTCTCTGGAATCTCAGCGTAAGCCAGCTTCTGATTGGCTGCTGTTGAAATTTTCCTCTGTGGAGACTCTGAACAAGGTGATCTTTGATCTATTGCTACCCTCCATGACATATTCCCCCTTGGACTTTCAGCATGAATTGATCTTTTATCAGTTGTCAATGACAATGATTTCCTTCCTGGACTCTCGGAACCAACCGACCTTTGATCAGCTGAGAAAAGCTTCCTATGTGGGATTTCGGAAATAACTGACCTTTGATCAACCACGGTTGACAGATTCTTCCTATCTAAAATCTCAGAATAAACTGTTCTTTGGTCACTCCCTGTGAGGAACAGATCATCCATTAGAGCCACGTGCTCATCCCCACAAAATGAAGATGGCTTGCCAGTTAGAGCTGTTTCCTTTGCTAATTCCCAACTCTTGTCTTTAGAGCTCCCAGAAGATTTTTCCCTCTCAATAAGCCTGAAAGCAAATATCTGAAAAGGAATCTGTGACACTGGTGCCAAATCAACTCTACCCTCTCCATGAAACTTCTTCGAGTATCCTGCCTCAATGTCACAGTAATCGACCAGTGGAGGTGGCGACTCAGGTTGGCCATGATCAGGGTTGATCACAAGGATTTTCTTAATGTAGCGTAAGATCCTGCAAATTGATGAAAAACTTGGGCGATTAATTGGATCAGTGTGCCAGCATTTTCTTGTTAAGTTTGCAAGGTATTTTGGTGAAGGGTATGGAAAAAGAGGCCTCTCCCCTGCTCTTATATTGCGAACCATCTTGTCCCCTTGAAGATGACCATCTTCAAAGGGAACTTTCCCTGTCAGAAGCTCGAAGCAAAGCATCCCAAAGCTGTATACATCAGCTTTCTCTGTATACTTGGAGGTACATTTACGACCTGGTCGTTCTTGTTCAGAAAGAATTTCTGGGGCATACCATATGACTGGATTGGTCTCATTTTGTTTTGGAGATCGCGAGGTGTAACTCTTGATGGAGGTTAAGCCGAAGCCAGTCACCCTTGCATGAAAATAACCTTCTATGGAGGAATTCCTTGCCTTGAGTAGGACATTTGATGGGTTCAGATCTCCATGGTAGATTTTTCTCGAGTGTATATATTCCATTCCTCTTGCAATCTGAAGCATGATATCAACAGCAACTGGGACAGAGAATGGAACCCGCTTCATTTTTCCAGCGTTCTCTTTGATGCAAGTGGAAAGATTCTTGTTCATCAGCTCCATCACAAGGTAACCCTCTTTCCTTTCCTCGTCATAAAACCCACAATGGTATTGCATTATGTTGGGGTGGGAAAGTGATAGAACTAAAGAAATCTCAGCATACAAGGGTTCAATTTCTCCAAAGAAAGTTCTTAAACCAAAACTTTCTCCCAACCAATGGATCTCCTTACAATGGCTTCCTCCTGATCCTAATCGTCGCCTCACATGGTAATCATTTGCTCCAACTAAGATTGAACTTGGCAAGAGCTTTGCGTCTAATGTTTCTGATCCATTTAGTTTCTTAAGCAATAGGTCCCCAAGCTTCTGTTCTTGCTTTGATGGAGTTGTAGATGCTGCACTTTTCCTCTCCCTTATTGTTTCGAGAAGCAACCATCTGTCTTCTTTCCAAACACTATCCAACCGATTGCATATCTCTTGAGGAACTAAGTACTTTTTTCCAAACATCCATTGGAAAAGTGTTGGGTCATTCCATTCTGAATCGTACTTCCTCACGAGAGCAAGTCTCCTCTTTTGCATATCATCTAGGTTTAGTCCCGAGATCTCTGCAGCAGTCTCGATGGCCTCAATGACCACTGGAAAGCAACTGAGCAAGTTGTGAATGTGAAACTCCACACAGCTCTTGTTCTGATGGAGACTAATTGCTTTGCCCCACCAGTCTTGGACATCCAAGCAATATCTGATGTAGACTTCACCTTCTTTGAAAATCCTGTGGAGCTCTCTCATAGGAAGTTCAAGAGCTTTCCATTTGGTGTTCCTCTCATCCAGCCTCAGGTTTTGCCTGATCTCCTCCTCAATAACCTCAAAGGCCAGAGTGAAGATATCCAAAAGCAAACAACACTGCCTCTGATTGATTGGAATATCGTGTTTTAACACCATAAGAGCCTTTAAACTCCCCAAAACCTCCCCCGTCTGCCGGAATTGATCCATTTCAGCTTTTCGGAAATGGCAAAACCAGCGAAGGGGATGCCTCTCGAAACCCCCAAGACAAATTAATCCCTACGAATTCAAACCCAAAAATCAGAAAACCAATATTGCCACTTGGCCTAGGCAAGAAATTTTTACATGAAACCCATAAACCAGCTATGAAAAAAACAACAAATTGTGCAGTTGTCCACAAGAAAATGAAATAGATTCATGTAGACTTGTGTTTTGCTGCGCAGAAGACCACAGAACACACACACACACACATATGAGCGGGGAAAAAATAATAAGTGACCTATAGGCCTGAAACGGATCATATGTGATGTAAACAGAATGGAACTGGTGTTAACAAGTTGTTCTTAGATGAAATATGCATCGAAATATCAAAACCAACACAGAAAATAAAACAGGAAAAGTGAAGATCAGCCTGATTTATTACCTGCTCAAGAAATTCTTCTGTCTGCACGTATATTGATCAGTCACAAAGGGGTTTTGCAACCCATAAACGCCGAATTTGTACGGATTGCTAAGATCTAAATAGGTCGAGAAAAACCCGTTCCGATCTTGTGAAAAAAGCCGCCAACCTGAAATGGGTATTGCCGAAGAACAAACCCAATTTCCTCCAAACTCTCGATAGAATATCGCACAATCTCCAGATGAAATGGCAGAGCTATGATATTAAAAAAAGTGCCAATGAGTAGAAACTAGCAGATGCATACAAATTTTATGACGTCTGTCCGACTACCAATCTAGAAACTGAGAATAAAAAAGTAACGGAAATTCCAAGATGAAACGGTCAGGTTGGTCCATCTAAGCAAAATCCTGTTGATTTTCTTTCAAGATTTTTTGTTTTGGACCAACCTGAAGAATTTGTTGCAATTTGGAATTGAAGTGTTTGTGGCCGTTGATACCTCCGTTTCTTTTGGGGTCACAAGTCTATTTAAATATGTTCCCGCGAGTTTCGTCTCGCCTTGCCTCTCTCTATATCCCTTCCTCTCTCTCCACGCATGCATATGTAGGTAGAACTTAGGTAGAACTCTTAATGGATGGGGACGGGTTTGTGCCTAAGTGATGTCGTATTAATATGGGTTAATTACGAAATACTCCATTCAAGTTTAGGTCATATTCAATTAACTTTCATTAGTTTTAGTTTCAACAATTTATCATCTCAAAGTTTTAATATGTATCAATTAAGTCAAGTCGTTAATTTTGATAATAAAAAATGATAGAAAATAGTCATTTGCAAGTCGCATGATTTCAAATTTTATGAAGAGAGAAGACCACTCTTCACATCATTTGTCTTAGAAAGAAGAATGAGGAGTTTTTTGAATTCAAGATAATTTTCTCTTTTCAATAAAATTGAGATCATGTGACTTAAATTCCATTATTTTTCATTGTGGAAACAAACAATTTGAGTTAATTGAAAAATGTATAAATTTTGATTTGTTGAAATTTCCACTAGAGGGAGTTAATGGCACCTTATATATATATACTAGGGTAACCCGTGCTTGAAGATATGGTGTAACGTAAGTGAGAAGTGATAAAATTGGGAGGGTAGAAATTCAATGTGAATGATTTTGAGAGGGATGTTGGAGGCTGTTAGATGAGTCTATTTGAGACTATCAAATGAATTTATTGAAGTCTGTCATATTTAATATTATAGATTTGACACAAATAAAAGTAATATTTTTTAATATTTAATCTTCTTACAAATTTTATATTTTACTCATTTTTAGCTATATATTCCATAATTTTTGAACCAAAGGAAGCTCCAAAAAATAAGACTAATACTCTAAGAAATTAATTTTAATTTGCTAATTTTAAGGGATTTGATATAGGGATTTTTTTTTTTTTGGGTTCTAGTACCCAACTTGTTTGATCCAATTAATTTTTTTCATAAATCATTGCAGCGGACCCAATTTAGAATATCCAAAAAAATATATAAAACATATATAACTAAAAAATAAAGTATTCAGTGTGGTCCTACACCCCCTCCTCTATCCGCCACTGCCACATAGAGATAGAGAGTGAAGAGTGAGAAGAGGAAAGTAAAATTTAATCTAAATAGTTTTTAGAGAATTGTTGATAGTCGTTGGATGAGTTTATTTGAGACCGTCGTATGAATTTATTGAAATCTTTTGTATTTTATATTATAGATAAATCCACAAAATATGATAGAATTGACTTAAAAAATATTAATTTATATAAATGTAATCAAAATTAACTTTAATTTATATACATGTAATCAAAATCAAGTCAAATATAATATAAATTAAAAATCTAATTTATCAAAAAACATATTGCTAAAATATGTTCTATTAAAAAAGTTCTATAAATATTATTTATAAAATATTATTTTTTTAGTTAGTACAAGTTATTAAAAAATTATTAATTTATAAAGATATATTAGTGTTAAATTTTCTTAAAATATAAAAAAAATTAGTCTTGAACTTTTGATTCAAGATACTTGTAAGACATATTAGTTTGAGATAATTAATTAAATAAATAAAATTAAAATTAATTATATTCAATATAAATGTGTTAAGTAGCGACCTTGTTTTTTTTATTTGTTAAATTGATGAGTTTTTTTAATCAAAATGTTATTATTGTGTCTTATAAAAATTCAAGATGTTACACTACAAAGATAATATTAATGCCAAATTTGACTCATTTAATTATTATGTTAAAGAAAATCCTGTGTTGCAAGATTAATCGTAATCGTTGATCGATTGAGAGAAAAATATTAAGGAAAAAATGGTAATTTCTTGACTGTTGGATGAATGAATTTGAGATTATAGGATGTGTCCAAAATCAGTTGTAATCGTTGACTGGTTGGGGAACAAAATTTTAAGGAAACAAAAAGGAATTTCTTGACCGTTAGATGAATGAATTTGATACTGTAGAATGAGCTTATTGAATCCGCCCTATATATATATAGTAATACGATCATGAAAACTCTCCACCGTAATATTTAGTGGATACTTTTTACATAGACTGTTGAATTTCGATCTAATGGCTACCAAACAAAGATGCTTAAAATTTATTGTCAAAATCTACCTAATTTAATTCTTAACTAAATAAGAAATATTTATGACTTATTAATTGTAATCTAGTCCTATAAAGAAAGCTTTTAAGGTTAGTAAAAAAAATTCTTTTTTTATTAATTAGTATTGAACAGATCGAACCTAATGACCTAGATGATTTTTATCTCATATCTATATCAACCACCTAATTTATTATACTTGTTTGGATTAAAAAAAAACTAAAAATACCTCTTCAAACCTATCTCCTCTCACGTCAATCTCCTACCAACTATAACTCTTATACTCAAACCCTCTTGACGACTATTCTTGTCGTCTTCATTAACTCAGATAATTTCGTCATGATTCAGACCCTTTGCTGCACCTAAGCTGTTAGAATAGTTTAATCAATTGGTCACTTAATTGTTTAGTTGGTTAAATAATGAGTTCTTAAAGACTTTGGTGATGTAGCTTCTAGGTTAAAAGTTTAAAAGTGATGGTATTGATGAGTTATGTTCGGCAAATTGATTTAATAAGCCAATGTCATTTTTTGAATTTCAATTTAATGCTTAAGCCTTTTTTTTTATTGGGCACAAAAGTGCAATATGTTCATCAAATTCGACTGTGTAGGTATTATTTGTCAATGTCTTTTTAAAGTTAGTAATCAATTGCAGATTTTTTTTTTTTTGGAGGTAATTTGATGTGTAGTTATATTGTATCAATTCAACAGATTTTTTATGCAAGTGTGGAAAATTGACATAGCGACAAATATAGAAGGAATTGAAATCATACCTTCTATGCATACAGATGTAAAACCATTTTTTATTAAAGAATTCAATTCTATTGATGAAACATTTTTTTTACGATGCCTATGCAAGGATTTTTGATATGCAATCCTAATTTTAAACTTAATAAGCACTAATAATCGTAAAATTGTGGTATTAAGAGGACAAAGTTGTGTTTATATAATGAACCATAAAAAAGAAAAAGAAAAAGAAAAAGAGGAATAGTTGATAATTTGACCAAAGAATTGAAAATATCTATAACTCATTATGTTTATTTTTGTTTATTTTTAACCCAAAAAGGTATAATAAATTAGATGGAAAAAATTATCGTAGTAGTACAACAACGGTTCAAACTAGCAGTAATTCTTTCACATGAAGCTTGGGAAACCATTCGGTCATTGGGTTAGAATTTTTAATAGATGAGTAAAGATAAAAATCATCCGGTCATTGGATCGATCCGTTAATATTTAAGAAGAATCAATAATTTTTTTATTTATTAACCTTTAAGACTTTCATTATAAGACTAGATCACAACTAATAAGTCATAGATATTTCCTATTTAGTTAACAACTAAATTAGGTAGATTTTGACAATAAATTTTGATCATTTTTGTTTGGTTTATATATATATATATATATATATATATATATNAAAAAAATTAGGTAGATTTTGACAATAAATTTTGAGCATCTTTATTTGGTAGTCATTAGATTGTGATCCAACGGTCTACTTAAAAAGTATCTACTAGACACTATGGTACAGAGTTTTCATGATCGCGCTACTCATATTAAGTAATCACAGAAGTAATTTAGTCCAATCTCACCCATGCCTCCACCCAAATAAAACCATAGGAAGTAAATGTAACAGGTTGCAAACATGCCACTTTGATATCTCCTTTCACTTNGATAAATTAATGGCAACTTGATCCAAACTTAAAGTGGGTATTTTGTAATTAACCCTAATAATATTTCTTTATCGATATTCAACTAATTTATAATTGTGTAAAGTTGGAATCGTGACATGAGTTTGTATCTTACATACGTTGTGTATAAATTATGTTTAGGGTGTTCATCTCGTATTTAATTGAGTTTATGCCGATTCATTTATTTGACTGCTCTAATAAGTCTATCCGTTTATTAATCAAACATGTAAAGACTTAACTCAAACTCATTAATATCATATCGATTTTCTATCGGATTCACGATTCGTGTTTAAAATTATCAGGTCAACATTTAGTTGCACACATGTTTTTTTGTCACATACTGCTGTTCCATAATCATCATGCATCTCTACCGTCCTTTTAATTGTTTGTCATCTCCATGGATCTTCTACCGATAAAAAGCTCTCTTTTGGTTCTAAGCAAACGTCTTGATCATGGAGTGAAAGTTGGGGTCTGTATCATCTTTCACAGGAATTTATGAGCCATACGGATCGTATTTGAGATAAAGTATAATTTTTCTAACCAGTACATTGAGAAACTGTTGTCAGAAAATTTAATATGGGGGATGATCCGTGATGCAAGTGTAGTTGAAAGATGATTTAGACTTAAATTTTATTAAATTTAATGATCTTGAATTGGCGTCAGATTTTAAGTTAATTGAACTAGTATTATCATCAACGACACCTGCGTCACGGATCATTCCCATATTAACTACACTTGTTCAAGTAACTTATAATCTCACGCTAATTCAAAATCATTTAATTTAATAGAATTAAAAATCGGGCATCAATTTTATCTGATGATACTTAGAATAAATTCTAAGTTTGAGCTCAGACACAGAGATCAGTCATGGAGGTCAAGCAAGCATCCTGAGCTCAGGAAACTAGACCTTGAGTTCCCTTTGAAGGGAATAATAAATGAAGAGAGGGGGAGACAGCTGACCAACAAAGAGAATCCCCAAAATAGCAGAAAGCTACTGTCAAGGCGCAAAACTCTCAATTAGTCGAGGTCTTCACCCAGAATCAAAGACAATCCCTTGGATGAAATGCAAGGATCTTGGTGCAGATCCCTTAAGAATATGAATTAAACTATAAATACAGAACAATGTCTCTATTGAAGGGGTGAGCAACCCTAATTGTATTGGAACACAGTTGAAATTCGTTAAAGCAATCAATATAGATCTGAGAAGCAAAAGTCTCTATTAAAGAGTGGATTAGCCGAACTTTCAAGCGGATGAATCACTATAATTTCAATACGTAAATTAGCCCAATTCCTTAAGAATTTTTTCACAATTCTCGCGAGTCTTGTAACTCAGTTTAACATCTATTTCCACGGTTCATACGTTCTGCTCGTTCGCCTAATTAAACCAACATTATCAAATTGCAGCACTTTTTAACCCTTAAACGCAGTGGGAAATGGTGGGCGCAGGACCAACTATTATATGCCAATGGGCGGCGTTTTTTCATGCGGAGGTGTGACGACCATGACCGTAAGTAATTCAATAAGATAAGGCCACGTCTCGTTGCATCAACAGGGTCGACGTGTAACCGGCTTTGACTAGTTCGGTTTGGTGCGCGAGACACCTCCATTACCTAACCCAAATGGCGACCATTTCAACAGAGATTGAGATTGGGATTGAGATTGAGACAAGAGATACTAGTTCAAGGGAGTGCTTTCTGAGTACGTTAATTACACTATTGGTCTCTATAATATGTTCTCAATTTCATTTTAGTCCATTATGTTTCAATTGTGCCAAAACATTTGATTTTAAATGACCCGGTTTGAAGTCCATAATGGACCGTTATGTGTATATATCTCACAAGAAAGAGTATATTCAATACTTACACGGCTCATTTGATAGACGTATTATGAGGGGATTAAATATTAGATTATATTATTTTTTATTTAATCGAACCTAATACTTTATTTGATAAGTAAATTTGATACCGTATTAATTTCAAAAACATATATTTATCGTATATTTTTTATACGTTAAATCTGTATTATAAAAAGTATTTTAATACCACCAAAAGAGGTGATATTATAATCCAACTCAAACATATTATTTTACACATTTACCAGTATAACCCTCTAACTGATAAAATCAAACTGTCATCAATATAACAAACACTGATTGAGGGTATTTTTGTTAATTCAACATTAATACGATAAAATAATTCCTTAACGAAACAACTGATTGAATTAAATAATTACTATCCAACGTTTATGTTGTGTATTACCAAACACTGGATAAAATTATGTATTATTCTAATACCATATTTAGTCTTGTATTTTGTCATTCTGTATTGTATTAGACCAGATTATTTTATCTAATCCATCTATATTTAATACGGCAACTAAACGAACCCACATGGTATTACATGATTATGTTATATGGTGAATATTATACATTTTTAATCAATTTTTGTCGCTTGTGAAATTGTCAAATTTTTTTTTTTAAAATATGTATTAGACAAATAATTGTTGTGATGACTTATCATTGGTCATAGACACCTCACGATACGACCATTTAACACTGTATATGCATAGAAAATTTTCTTCGTATCTCGTTTTTTTGGAAGGTAAAAAAAAAATAAAAAATTCTTCATATCTCACGGTGCGATAGTGGATATAAAAACTGCACCCAACTAAACCAATACTACGAATTTGCAAGGACCAAACTGAAGTGTTTAACTATATCAAATAGCATAACTAAATTTAACTAAGTCTTTTCCCAATTATTTAAGGTCAACTAAAGAAACTATCAAACTATACTCCCCTTTGTTCCATATCATCTAGGTGGGAGTAGAAAATTATGTGTCCTCCCGCGGTTAATAATATTTTTTTTTTATTACGGTTAAAGGTATTTGGGTTAGTTTATGCACATATCGATTAATTTTTTATCCAATCCAGTTAAAGTAGATTATCTATGTTGAGACTAAAATATTTATAAAAAATAAATCTTTCATGTTTAATATTATAAGAGTTACCAAATTTTGAATTTATGATGTCTAAATTTAGAGCTCATACCTGTCTTTGGTGAACTACCCCTCCCTTTAGTGAGTTTCGTATTTGAGATTCACTTTCTATCTTTTCAAATTCTTGATGTTGAAATTACACATTTGCCCCAAATTTACGCTAAGCTCGATATAGAAGGATGCCTTCGTATACAGTAACTTGCACCTAAGCTCATTGCTCGCTTCTAATTGCATGAATGAAAGACGTGATTTCAAACTATGTAAATTTTTGGAGTGGATGATTATTTAACGTGATATCCGAGTAGGAGATTTTGTGTTTCAATCTCACCGTCACTGTTTATTTCAAAAAAAAAAAAGAATTTGGTTGTTTAACGACTTAAATTTTTAGAATAAATAATTGTTTAATCAATTCAAAAGAAAAATTAATAGATGGATCAATGAAAAGACCTCCCAAAAAAAAAAAAAAAAAAAAAGCTACGTACTCCAAAAGGACCCACAAATATTCAATCCAGGGACATTTAATGTTTGATGTTGGCTTTTCGTTAGATGCGTTGAATCGCAACTCTTAACCGTCGCCCGCAAACCATGAAACTGGTTCAACCTCTCATTGTTTTCTACATTTTTCCTTTTCATGCTGTCAATGCGGGCCCTCTATTATTGTCCTTTTCCAAGGCTTGTTGTTTGAACATTTCTTTCTGAAACCAAATCCAAATGTAAGTATCAAATTTTTAGATTCAAATAGTATAACTCTTTTGTTATGAATCAAGATATAATTTTTTGTCGTACCTGAAATTGTTTTAAAATATTTCAAAAAGTTGTAACCGAGCCTCAAGAGGATGTAATTTTGACTCCAAAAAGTTATATTTTTTTAGAAAAGATCTTAAAGTGTAAAGATCAATTTTAATTTTTTGTGCTAATTTAATTCCGTTATTTTAACTCACGAAAGCTGTAATTTTCTAAATAATACATACTTGGCTACTGTATTCTTATTATTTTGGAAAACATTACTTAGACAATAGATACATTATTTTTGGGGACAAAGCATCGTTATAATCGATTAAACCTCTGGACTCGTTGCTAAAAACATTCTCTCGGAATGCATATAAACATCTAAAAATCACGCGCATCACACCATTGGATAGATACAGAATTAATACCGGGAAGGACGGGCTCTAAACAAACTGTTATTTCATGTTAAAATTTAACTCAAAAACATAAAACCAAAACACAACTTTACATGGGGCTTTATAAAAAAAGAAGTAAAATTGTAGGCACTAATGATGTGGCGAGATTTTGTTCATTGGATGGTTAGTAAGATCTATACATCTAACGACTCACATTGATTTGATGCAATTTTTTAAAAATTTTATAAAAGTTTTGATACGTGTAAAATTACCCTATGTTTGAGTAAAGATGAGCTTTTTATTGCAACTATGAAACACCAACTAAATGTTATACTTTGTCCCGCATGGGAATATTTTAGAAGTTCCCAAATTAATTACGAAACTTATAGAACGTTCAGCCATCATGTACGCCTATAAAAGGTTACGTAGGCTTTGAGTTCTGCTCAAGGAAAAGATGAGTGGAACTGCTTGCTCTAATCCTGCAGCATACACTGTGCCTGGGGGGCGCCAAGTGACCGGAAACGAGAAGCAATATTGTACTTTCCGGATGCCACTCCACTATCCGAGCTACAAGAAAACCGACTACGAGAACATGTCGGAGTGGAAACTGGACTGCCTGCTGAAAGAGTATGGACTTCCGGTTATTGGAGATGTCAACCAGAAGAGAAAGTTCGCCATGGGAGCCTTCCTTTGGCCTGATCAGTATGAATGAAAGTCCACATCACAACCTGTTATTTAGTACGTAATAATATTATCGAGTCCACGATATAGTTGGTTGTGTATTGATGTATTTCCCAGTACGCTATGATATAGTTGGTTGTGTATTGATGTATATCCCAGTATGCTTTAAAAAGTGTTTGATGGAAATTTAGATTTGCTATTGTATGCATATTCTGCTGTCAGTCTGTATTTGTGCTTTTCATGTAAAAATAAAAATAAAAATTATATGATTTAGCGAGAACGTTCTGATTGTGTGAGCTATGCTTTAAAGTTGGTGCAATATTGAATTTCATCAAAATCGGTTTGGTCTCGAGCAACCAAGTACACTAGTCCAAATAGAATTTTTTTTCTATACCTTGCAATATTAAAATAACGCCAATATAAAAGATCGCACTCAAGGAGAGAACTTGGCTATTGAGAGAGGAAGAAATGGGTATTTTCTTTTCTTTTTTCCCGTGCATTGCTAATTATAAAACTGGACAACTATGAAAAGCACATATAGGCAGCAAAGAAATAGGAAACATTGCAACTAATTTCCACTAAAAGAATGAAGGTACGAGTTCAAGTAAGTCCACAACAATTTGGGTTTAGTTTAAATAAATTGATAATGGTAAACTAAGCACGAGCTTGGCAGAGTAACTCTGCAGCTCGGAAAGGTCCAACCCTGTAGCTCTTTGCTCTTTAGCTCACCAACGTCCCAGTTCAGTAACTTCTTAATTCTCCACCTTTTGACTAATTCAAACCAATTGAGATATGCCTGCTATAGGGTGCCATCATCTGTTTCATTTTTGGTGTCGCCCAATTTAAATAATAATTAAAGATCTTTTAATAGTTCAACTTTCTGACGAATCTGGCCTATAAAAAGACCATGCTAGACATTATCGAGGTAAGTTGATTACTCCCAGTAAAATATTATCATTTTTAATCATTCTTTTTTGACTTTATCATCGAATAGTCGACCACCAGAGTCTATCCAGTCCTCGACTTCTCTTGCAGTAACATTCCCACTGATGATCAAGGCATAATTCCGATTAATCATATTGGTGGACAATTTTTGGAATTAACAGAAACTATTGGCTCCAGTGAATTGTGTCATTTCTGTGATTTTGAAACTCACGTAGAGGTCCATGCATTGAACAAGAACCTATATTTTTATCAACCGCCAAAAAAATTGGAGATGAAACCCACTTGATGAACAAGAACCTATTAGTTACTTAATCTCTCACAAGTCGTGATCTTTTAGAGAGTATTTCTTGGGGGTGTATCTTAGAAGCCTTCGGACATATTTTGAACTATATTGTATGTCTATGTTATTTTATAAATAATATCTCTATCTTCCAAAAATAGCAATGGTTAAACCGTTTGACGAAGCAAAGATAAACAAGGATACGCCAACACAGGTGGAATGAGTATCATAACTCCATCGTTTTTTCGCAAGTTCAACTGGTCTCGCAATAAATATGACAATTACGTGTGCCCTCTTAGCCAGGGCACCCTTGTGGTATCAAAAACGTACCACCTATTATTCTGGACCCTTCAATTTTTTCTTGGATATGCACAACTGAGTTCCTGCCCATTCATTTTTATTTTTATTTTTTGATTTAATAGTTAGGAGTGTTTGAGTCAGTTTAAACACATATCAACTAATCCTTTCTTCGCTTCAATCAAAGGCAGGCTATCTATGCGGAGACTGAGAATTCATGATAGATAAATTTCTTGTAGCCTGATCCTAATAAATTATCAAAATTCAAATTCAAAACATCTGAATGTATAATTCATTCATATATTATCACTTGAACTACTTCTTATCCTTATTCATATTTCTTGCTCGACATGACAAACAATCAATCAATTCGTCCATCAAACAACGGCAATGGATAAACATGCATTCACGCATCTCTCTCTCTCAGGTATCCTAAATGAGGTGGTGGAATAGCCATCGACGTAAGTGTGCAGTTCATCATCAAACTTACTGATCTTTCACCTATTTAATGCAGGTGGAGGGATGGATAAGTTTAAAACCAGACATCTGTAATGGATTCCTACAGTCTAGAGATAAGGATCGATGAAGCATTCTAATCACCACAGCGACCTAACATTGAGTTGATAAGCAATGACCTACACTATGATAATTGAGTTGACAGAGAAACCAGAAAGTAGAAACCCTTATTCTTTTCTGAAGGTGAGAACTCTCTTATTTTCAATTGAAATGCCAAATGGCACTTTGGACGTTGATGTGTCATAATATGCAAATGGGTTTCATTAATTATGTAATTGTTGAGTTGAACAAGTGGCTGCAAAGGATGATTGATGGATTATTCTTTCAATTTCAGAAAATTACGTATGAGTACTATGACATTCTTGTCAAACAACCAACCTGTGCCTTAACAAAAACCATGAGAGTTTGAATTCGAATAGTGGATTAACAGTCGTTTATTTGTATATATAGAGTAAAATCTCTCTTGCATTCATGTATGTGATCTCCTATTAAGAAAATTAAAAGCGAAAATAGATCATGGAGTGAAAGTCGCCTAAGCCGAGGTATTCTCCTAAAGAATATAACTAGCTTATTACCAGCGGAATGATAAAAGTCTTTTTTCTTACAGTGCCTTCTTCAATGAAAATGTACAAAATTTTTTTGTATTAAACCATGTGAAATAATATAAGAGTCAAATATGTTTGCTGTGTTTATGATGCTGGAATAGCTAGCAATCTAGCATAGGACTTGTGCATTTCACGGACAACTCTAATCCATGTTGTGGAAAGTGAACCACCATGCAGCCAAACAAACCCAGTTTGAGCAACTATAGAATGGAATGAGGATACCGGCGGACTAGTGCATCTCATCTTAATGTTAAAAGTTGGAATTTTAAAATTTGTATGGTTGATCGTTATGTTAGCCTAATTAAATTAGAACCGAGAGAAGTAACGAACATGGTCAATCGGATGATCTATGGGCGCTCTCTTTTGTCCATATCTTTTTTTAGAAGAGCGATGTTATCAAATTTACCGACCTAATTTAGATTGATTATAAGTTTCATTAAACATTGAAATTTAGTATTAATCCAATAATTTTAATAAAATCACATATTAAATTAAACCAAAATTTTAGGTTCAAATAACATTATTTTTTTTCTGTTACGAGCAAAGCTGCGAAGAGAAAACAAGGGAAGGGACATAATTTATTAAGGAAGAAACCAAATAACCTAATTTTAGACTCTCCCTCATGAGATCTTGCCACGTGGAAGAATCTGGAGCTATCATGCGGCGCCAAATATGGGGACCTGGCTGATTCCCCGCCGGCCGATCACATGGGATTATGACGCAGGTGCCAGACTTTGAGACACGCTGGTGGACCCCGACAAACCTTTGACCGGGCACCGGCTTTCCCGGTTGTCTCTCCCCATGGAAGAATCCCATGAGGTATATAGTATATTATATAGCTGCAAAAGATAAAAAGAAAAAAAAAAAGAGAGGGGGGGGGGG